GGGGGGGGGGGGGGGGGGGGGGGGGGGGGGGGGGGGGGGGGGAGATTACCAGACACTGTAAGGTCCCCAGGCTAAAAATAACTAGCCGTAATTAGGCACGGAGAATTAAGACTGCAACCTCTCCGTAAATATCCATTACTCACACTGCCAAACACAGACACTCGGGAAACGCAGGGGGGGGGAAGGTCAATTTGGTTTATGCGTTATGCATAAATGTGCAAAATGAAACCTGAACCATGATTGGAGAAGTGGAGATGAGTTGGAACAAAATGGATGGTTGGAACAAAATCTTGGTCTGGATTTATACTTTCTGGACCTGAACTTTACACCTCCATCACGGAAACACTTACTATGGCGCGTTCGCCCGACTCCCGTAGTTCTTAATGTTGGCCGCTGCTGTTATTCCACAGACGATGGTGGGGATACCTCCACCGATCAGGTAGAACCTGGGGGCCGGCCAGAGAGACAAACCTTTAGCTTACGGCTCTGCATGCTGTATTGGGGGGCAATTGGGGGGCCGATCATTAACATCACCTCTGAAGAAAATTCAACAGTTATCCCTGGTCTCCCCCAGTTCATTTCTGCATTTGCTCAGATACAGAGTGATGACAACACAGAAAATGTTTTCATCACAGTAAAATTCTGCTCCTGTGTTAAACCTCAGGAGTGTTTGGGGGATCCTTAGTCATGCAGAATGACTACAGTGTTTCCTCAAACTGACTCTGTTCAACAATCAATAGCTCCCAGTCTCCCAAACATACTGCATATTCCCAAGAGGCCCTATGATTGGTACGCTGTTTCTTATTTTAGGCTAACCTGCAATCTAGCAAAATTTCCTTTTTATTCCCATTAATTCCCAATTATTCCTGTTAATTCCCATGGAAAGTTTCCATCTTTGAAAATTCCCAGAATTTTGCAACCCTAATTTTTTAAACACAGGCCAGCCGAGGATTAGTTAAGCAGAAAACTCTAATGGGAAAGAGCCTCCCAGTTAAAGAGCACTGGCATGGAGTGCGGCGGTGACTCCGGCAGATGGATGCGATGTGCTGGCAGCGTGACGGAAAAGCCCTTCGTACGCTTAAAGACGACGGCAGCGTCTTAATAACCACCCCCCCCCCCCCCCCCACCAGCAGCTCCTGCCTCCAGCTCGTTAGTTACATTAACGAGCACATCTGCAAGACACAGAAAGTGGACAGTACGGGTGGCCACGGCCTGGCCGGCACATTACTGCGTGACGTCACAGAGCACAGGTTCCACTCCCGCACACTTGGTTCATTGTGGCTGCATTTTTTTTGGATTGCATGCTTTCCGTCATTCATCTCCTGGATTACATTTAATCTGCATAAATGCAATGTATACTTTAGTGTATTTATAATGTAGTACTTATACTCTATAAGAATAGAACAGAAAAGAAATCCTTGTGTGGATGTTTTCACTCATCTTGCTCTCTATGAGACATATATACATCAACCAGCACCCAGAACCCCTGGAACGATAGGGGTCAAGTGTCTTAGTTACTGCCGCAGAATTGTCTTATTCTGTTTGCTATGGTCACTTGATGTAGGAAGCTGCACAAAAATTCCACCAGACTGTCGCACGGGTATAAAGATTCTATTCTAAAATGAAGCATTAATGGGATCATTGCCGGCCTCATTACTGCCATCGTGTGGTCGGATGCACATCAGCAGGAGAAAAGGAATATTTTAGGGCACCAGGATGCTACTCATAACAGCCACAGTGTCTATAATAAAAGTAAGGGATAGAAACCAAGGTTGTATTCCAGGAATCAATTACTTTCCACTGTTCAGGAAACCACCTGGAGGAGGAGTGGCTAAAACCCTGCCAGGTGCATTATGGGAGACGTAGCTACTTACCTGAGCATGGGCCTGGGGGCGGGCGGGGGTTCATCCAGCTCCTCGTAGCGCTTGGCCTTGCGAGTCACCTGCTTGTAGATGTTGCGCGCGGTCACCCCCACCCAGAGCACAGTGGCCAGCGTGGAGTAGTGCAGCACAATGCCCACCTGAGACGGCAGCAGTGCATCATGGGAAATGGAGTGCAAAACATCAAGTATTCCTCTGGGGAATGAATGGAGGGTGGGGCACTCACGGCTTGGCAGACACTGGCGTGGCGTGTCTGGTTGATGCCGCCAATGAAGACGGTGCAGGCCAGCAGGATGTGCAGGCACAGGTTCAGCAGCATGTGCCAGGACTTGCGGCTGATCCTGATGGACCTGGAGGGACATGCGGCGAGCAGGATCTGGGGTTGGCGGGAGCCTGGAGAGCAGACGCTTGGCTGCACTCCTCGGCCTCCTATATGACACCTATGCGTCTGCCGCAGTAGTACTGAAAGCTCAAATGCGTACCGCAGCACCTTAGATCAGGCGTTCCCAGACTTTTTAGCCAACGACCCCAGAAAGAGACAAACGACCGATGCACTTGGTAGATTTTTCCAATCGCAATTACTGGTTGCGGTTATGGTTAAAATTTTATACAGGGGCCATTACTAGCTATTGGAGAAAAATCAAGGGCTAAGTCAAATTCACCTGGGGCTTCATGTTTTTTTTTTTTGAAGGAAGACTGACATCGGGGGTAAAATACTCATGGCAAGGCTTAAAATACTCGGACCTAAGGACGCCCCTGCTGTTATATAATGTTCTAGAAACATTCTGGAAAACGATTTTGTGACACCTGTTCCCCTACACTGGTCCTTGTGACCCCCACTTTGGGAACCCCGACTTAGATTAACAACGTTAAATAACACAGACAATTAGCATCACTAGGCTAATTATACCAGCAAACGCTTGGCGACTGTGGTCAGACATTAGCTTCAAGCAGCAGGAAACACCTCCCCCCCCACCCCAGACCAGCCCGGAGAGGCAGGGCTCACTTATGGTGGTAGACGTAGCTGACGATGACCACCAGGAGGCAAAGCTGGAGCACGATGGCGGAGGTGTAGACGACCGGGTGAAGCAGCTGCACAGTGGAGGAGGCATACTCTGTGCCGCTGAGGTCCTGCAGGAGAAGAGTCGGCAGGTCAGAGACGGGAGGTGAGAGGTGGAGAGGGACGTCGGACGCCCGATGCTCACCACCAGCACGGCATAGTTGTTGAGCGAGTCGCAGGAGATGGTGGTGAAGTTCTCGTCGGAGCGCAGGACCCGGCAGCCGTCCAACGCCCAGCCACCCAGGCCCCCCAGCAGGCTGAAGTTCCAGTAGGCCGCCCTGACGTCTGAGCCGTGGGTGTGCCGGCGCAGCGTGGCGTTGACTGGGCTCCGGAGGCCCCTCAGCGGGAAGCCGTCTGTAGGAAGACATGTGGGTCAGACAACGACCTGCTGGGAGCTCCGGCACCACACTGAATCACACCTCCCCATCTCCAGACATCTCCTGCGACCAAGGCTTTGTATGACTGCCACAAGCTACTAATCCAGTACAGTGCATAAGGAACTGAATTTACGCCCAAAAAGTGGCAAAAACGAGGCACAAACAGTGAAGCTGACATTTTAACATGCGAGAGCAGTGTGTCTCAACCCAGTCCATGGGGATCGCCCAGACAATCCACATTTCTGCTCCCTCTCAGCTTCCAACACACCAGGACCAGGTATTCTGTGTTTTTGATTGGCTGGGAGCAAAAATGCGGACTGTCTGGGAGTTCAAGGACTGGGTGAAGAAACACCGTGCTAAAGTGTTAGCGCCAGAGGTTCAGCTGCAAAAATAAATCACGAGTATATTTGCAAAGATGTATCACTATATATGTCCACACAGAACTGTCCATCCATGTATCTACAACTACTTGAGGAGGCTCCTCACCTATCTTGGCGAGGATAACGGGCGTGGCCACGGTCCTGCGCTTGCCGTCGCTGGAGTTGCCGGCGGACGGGAAGAGCTTGCTGTTCCGGAAGGCGAGCAGGTACAGCTTGTAGACCGTGTCCTCAGGGGGGGCGCCTGACCCCGAGCCCTGGGAGAAACACGAGGGGGGCAGCTGGAGGGATGCCTCCACCACAGTGTTCTGGGTGGCGGGGAGGTTAATCAGTCAGCCGCACCATGACCGGGGCAGAATGTGCATCATTCGGCTACCAGATCATTTAACATTTCTAGCAGCAGGCAGCCGTCAGTGCCGGGTAGGCGGGCCGCTCACCTTGAGCGCCAGGCTGGAGAGATTGCTTGTCACGTTGCACTTGAAGCTGAGCTGGCGGTCCAGGCCGAGGTCGGGATCGCGGCCCGCCAGTTCGCGGGCGGGGGGCCGGTCGGGGCTGAGCTTCTGGAACAGCGTGCATGTCATGCCATTGAAGGCGCATGCCTTGATTGCATGGGCCTCCAGGGCGATGTTGGGGGACGTCTGCGGGGGAGAGAGAGATGCCCGTCAGCTCATACTCGCCCTGGTCCTTGCCGTACCGCGGTCATCAACCAGAACTAACGATTAATCGGAGCTTCCATTACACATCCAGCCCCTTCCAGTCATCCAGTCATCTAGGTGAGCTCTATCCAAGCCTGACATTCCTTACATGAACTGCAACATTTCAAAACGTGCAAAAAATAATTAGGCCAATACCAAGGACGAGTGTGAACGCCCACCCCCATACCCAGGCGAGTGACTACATCTCATGATGCACCTGGCCGGGTTTCAGCCACAGGTCCTCCAGGTCGTTTCCTGAATAGTAGAAAGTAATTGGGGGACACCCCCCCCCCCTCCA